AAACCAAGGTGGTACAGTTTGTCCAAGAGTCATGAGTAAAATAAGCTATAATGTATAAGGTAAGATGAAGTTTGTCCCCACCTCTGCTTTCTTAACAAGCTTTAATTCATGAACTCACCTTGGTTTTCTGGTTTTTATTCATCACAATCCATTAGAACTGTACCAGTAGCACGCATGGAGCAGAGATATTCCATGAGCATATTCTGGAAGACCCCAAAGTGCTTTCGGTGTACATTGTGGACTGTTGTAGCTTCCAAACACTCCTTAAGACAGTCCTATGTCACAGTTATCCAACTGGGAGGATAAGCAAGAATTACTGTGAATAACTCATTAGGGCTCTCCAACCTTGGCAACATTTAAGATTTGTAGATCTTAATTCCTAGAAATCTGAAAGTTTGGACACATGCCAAGGTTGGACACTTATGTTTAGCTCTTCTGAACGTAAATAAATACGTCTATGAAGATTCTCAGTCATCCAGGTCATAGTTGTCCCAAAGGTGCTTTTTCAAAACTGAAGAAGTTTCCTGGATGAGAAGCGAAACATCTTCAAAGAAAAACCAGAAAGTCCAGTTGCCTCTTGAGAAAAAAAGCACTTTGGGGTAAATAAGTAACGGATTCTCACAAATACTTTCTGTCATAAATCTGGACATACAGCACACTATTCAGCACACTGTGGTTAAACGAACCATGTTTTAATTAACATGGGAACCCAACCTTACTTTCTAAGCATATCCTCTACCACTGATCCTGGCTCCCTCCTTACACACTTTCATCATTCAAATTTGTTAATAATTATAATGATCACAGCTTATTCAGAGAGGGGAAGAACTAATCAAGATCCCTCAAAGAGGCTGTGCGTTACCTATCCATTCTCCCAAAATCTCCAGACAGATCTGGGACAGCCTCCAAGTGAAAAACCTGGAATGCCACAGCAAATTAGGGTAGACAGGATTTAGCCAGGTGAGTGAAGGATCCCATTTAGGCTACAGCAATCTCTTGCCATTTAGGGAGACAGAACAAATACAAACCATTTTTCAAATCACACATTTCAAGGATCGGTGTCTTGCAATTACCGCTCCGTTTTCCTTTGCAGGGATGACATTAGTGTCAGAGGAGGCCGCAAGGAGCATCAACTGTCAAACCCCACCAGGAGATGAAAGAATATCAGGGCATTACTTCCCTCTTGTTGGCGGGGAAAATTACTTCATATCTGTATCACACCAATACCAAAGTTAACAGATACCATCACAACAAATACGATACAGCAGCACAGAAGTGAGGTTGGTGACTCAACAAGTGAGAGATTTATCTCTGAAAAAAGAGAGCCACACATCTGAAAGTTGTCAAACCACCTTCTACATTTCAGCTACAGCTGAGACAGGGTTCAGTTTTACATGTAATGCTAAGCCACATTTAAACATGGTTTAGAGCTGTATGGATTCCTAACCCCCATGTTATTTCAATGAAAGTCAGAAGCTGGGTCATCTTCTGTTGATGGTCTTCAGATGTCCTCTTGTCTGTGTTACCCATCGAGACAGGAGGCTAAACTTT